CCCATCAGCCCCTCGAGGGGCAGCTCAGAGCCCACCCCACCCTCTGTCCCCACTGCAGTCACTGGTCATCGCCGTCCCAGGGCTTGGTCCCTCTCTCCCTGTCTAGAGGCACTTCCCCAAAAGGCTCCACAGAGAGGACCCTCCTCTGGTGGGTCAGATGTAGAGCCACAGCAGCCAGGCCGCCTCAAGGCCAAGTGTCAGGCACTGTCACCTGCCAGCTTCCCCAACGTCCTCCATGCTCTGGAGGAGGGGAGCTGACCAAGACACCCGACCCGCAGGGCCGAGGGCAGGAGGGAGGCGGCCTGAGGATTCAAGACCAGGTGACTAGGGGGATGCAGCAGCACTGGCGGACGGGACGGGACTGGGACAGGACTGGGACAGGGAGCAGCCCGCAGGGCCCGCGGAGAGCTGCACTGGGCCCCACCCTGCCTCTAACACAAGTCCTGGCTGGAAACGAAGCCACACTCTGCCTGCCTAGCGGTGAACAGAGCCCAGTAGGTGCCTCTGGGTTTGAAGAGCCTGTGGGGCAGCGCCAAGGTTTTCTTTCAACACTGTACGGGGAGCGGGACCCAGGACCTGCTGCTTTCTGGGAAGAGGCTGCTGGCAGCTCTCCAAGTGCCTCCTAAGCTGTGGCCCCTGGGGCCACAGAATCTCCCCTCCATGGACAGACCCTTCTCCCGCCATCCCCACCCAGGATGCCACGGTCACACGGGGAGCCGGTCTTCTGACAGACCGGGGACCAGTGTATCAGCAACACCTAGAAGAGTGTCAGAAATGCAAACCCGTCCGGAACCTGACACCAGGGTGGGGCGAGCTGTGTCCATACCAGCCATGGGGTGACTCAGGGAGCCGCCATGAGCAAGCGGCCTCTGGCAGTTGTGTCCAGCTCGGGCAGGCCTGCCTCCTCACCGCACTGCCCGCAGGCCCGCTGGATGGCTGCGCCGCTGCCCACAGCGGCCTCGCGCCCGTCCGAGGGCCCCACTCCAGCACGCGCGGCAGTGCTCCACCGCCTGCCTGGGAGCGGCCCTGGCCCCGTCCCAACACAGCCGTAGCCTCTGGAAGGAAAAGGAGAAGAGGCAGTCCCGCCTGCTTCCCAGGGTGGATACACAGGTGGCACTGAGGGGAGGGCTAGCCCCGGCCCTGGCCAGGGGCGCTGGAGTCCCCGGGCTCCTCAACTTTGTGCAGCTGCACTCCCCTCAACCACTGTCTGGGGATGTGCGGTTTCCAGCAAAAAGCTTTCTAAAAATTGTACAGTTTGGTAACGGATATTGAGTCTGCTCTAACTTTAGTATCCTCTGTCCCCCCAGAAACAAAGAAACCCAGAGCACCCCCGATGACTGCCGTGCAGGCGGAGGGGCCGTGCAAGTTAGCCGAACTGCGGCATCCTGCCGGAGGGTCTCGGTCACCCGGCCCGGCCACAGCGCAGCGGTCCCCTGCAGAGGAGCCGGGGAGTGAAAAGCGCCCGAGGGCTGTCCTGTAGGCAGGCAGGGAGACAGCTGGGCACGGAGGCCCCGGATCAGCTGCAGGGGTTCCTGGAGCGCTGCGCCTCGTGGGGCCGAGGGCCGGGCTCGCCCTCACAGCAACGAAGCGGGCTGTGGACAAGACTGGCTCTCCAGCCTGAGCCCCCAGCACATCAGGAGGCACCTCTCAGCCTCACAGACGCCCGAGCCCGGGCACAGGGCACCTCCGACTCCCCTGCTGCCCAGAGCCCCCGTGAGCAGTCTGGAAGATTCGGAGCCAGAACTGAGGTCGGGGCAGAGAAGAGAGGCTCCTTTCTAAGACTTGTCCGTCTGAGGTTCACTCCAGCCCCGAACATCCACAGTACCCCATATCTGCCAAACATCCCTCAAATCCACACTTCTCCTCGCTACATAAAGCAAATGCCAGCCAGAAACTTGTGTTGTCAGCAAGAGACCCACGTTCTTTATGTTCCCAAGAGAGAAAGCAAATCTACGAGGCAGGTGGGAACAGGCCCCTCCCCCAACCCTAAAACTCCTTAGACTTGGAGCCTCCTCAGTGAGAACCCAGGTCTTCAGCAGCCACCACCCAGGACCCCCAGCACCTCAGCATCAGCCAGATTCAGGGCCAAGACCCCCTGGGCCAGGGGTCAGGCCCAGCTCCGGGCAACATCCTGAAGCAAGGGTGCGGGAGCCGCGGGGCCTCTGCCTCCGAGCCAGAGGGGCCCAGAGGAGGGGGACAAGCCATCCTCAGGGAGAGCAGAGCCTCCGGTCGGAGACCCTCAGTGACCACGGCCGCCTCGAGCATGGGCTCGGAGGTCCTGAGCACCTGGGCCTCCCATGAGGAGGTGCGGCCCCTGCTGGGCCACACGAGGGCGGCGTGCAGAGCGGAGCCTGCATGGAAAACGACCGTGGTCAGAACGGCCCGGGCCTGCCCGCCAGCCCTCACGCTGCAGGTTTTGAACGCCACCATCCTGCCTGGGGGCAGGGGTTCATCCGGCTCTCCATCGGGCAGAGGAAGGAAAAGAAACATCTTAGAGACAGCTAAAGCCTGGTGAGTCCTTGCCAGGTGCCGGGCATGGTTCCAAGCTCCCACTGGCCTGTGCCACCTCATGAAATCTCAGCAAGGAGGGCCTGGCATCTCCCCTGTGAGTAGAGCAGAGAAAGGCCGGTCCTAGGAGTCAAGGTTACCACCTGCACTGGAGGACAGGCAGCCCAGGGAACTCAGGAAGTGGGTTTTCAGTTCTACTGAATTCTAGAATTCGGTACTCTCCCCTCCCCCACAGCACGACCTTCCTTCCCACTTGCACATGGGCTCAGAGAGACGTTTGGAGGAAGGGCAAGAATAAATCAGATAAATGAATATTTGCTGCTCAAAGTGGTTTTAGAATCCTTCCGTGGTTGAGGCAGAATCAGTCCCAGGGCAGCTGGGATTTGAGGGGCAGGTGCCAAGTCCAAGGTCAGCCAAGATCCTTATGCCTCAGCGGCAGGCCTGTGAGGATGTGCGCTGGAGAACCAGGGCCATGTGGGGAGCAGAGCTGACCGCCACACGAGCTGTGCAGACGGCCGCAGGGCCCCACACGAGCCCCCGGGAAGCATGTGTCCGTCTGCTCAGACCCCTCCAACCACACGCACTTCAGCCCTGTAGCCTCTGCCCGCCTACAGCCCTGGAAGGAGGGAAAGCTCCCGGCCACAGCCCCAAACCCCTTCATCACAACTCAGTCAAGACTGGAGAGAAAATGGAGCCCATTATTCTCATTCTGAAGGGCTGGGAAATGGCTTTTGCTTTTTATTCCCAACATGAAATGGGCCTAAAAATAAGCTGTGAATTTTAACCAGAGATTGAAAATAGCTCTGGCAGTGAACAGAGCTCTCTTCAGAGTGGGCTCGAGGGCAGCCTTCCGAGATGGAGGGTTCCACGCCACACGCGGGGCCAGGTCTAGGCAGGGGTCTCCAGGGCGGAGGGGCTGCCCTGCCCTGCTCTGCCCTGTGACTTCTAACTGCCACACTCTAATAGGCACATGGTCAGGAATTCAAGGCCCAGCACCTGGCCCAACGGTCTTCCTATAGCCCTCAAATGCCCAGGCATGACACATGGGGCTCTGAGGCCAGGGCCAAGGCCCAGTGTGCGCAGAGCTGGGGGCAGGTCCCAGGCTGCAGAGCTCGTGGGGCACAGCGGTGGCACTCGCAGACTCTTGGAGAAGCGAGCCCCTGGCCCACCTCCAGACTGCTCACTAGGTTTGACCCGGGTGCCAGGCAGGCCCACGGAGGGCAGGGCGAGCATACTCTCCAATGTGAGTGACCAAAGCCAAGTTCTACGGGTCTTTTTCTGTTATTTAATATCACCTCTGGAAGACTCCAAAGTCTGAGAAACCAAATGTTTGTACAAAATGGGCCTGTGTCAGGAACCCAGGCTTAGGAAGGGGGTGGCTTTGCCTGGAACCACACAGTCAGGGCCCAAGACCCCAGAGCCCACGCGCTACCCTCGACATGCAGATGCCCGCAGGGCTGGGCTGTGGCCTGAAGGCAGCATGGGGACAACCGGCTGTCCCCAACTCTTTGAGCATCTGCCCGCCATGCCCACCCTGCCTGTCCCTCTGGCTTCCCCACCCACAGGCCTCTCCCTAGATGGTGAGGCCGCACAGCTCGGGAGAGAAAGAGTGCCCCACCTGCACCCTGAGTCAGGACTGAAGGGATGAGAGGCAGCTTGCCCAAGTAACTTCCCTAATTACTCTGGAAAAGGGGCGCAGGGCCCCCGTGCTGGTGGGCACCAACCTTCCCAAGATTCAGGTGGCACCCTCCCCTGGAAGGGAGAGGGTGGGAGTGTGTGGGGGGGTCCCTCTGCAGGAGCCAAAGGCTAGATGGACTCCAGTTTCCTGGTTCTATTCTCGGCCAGCCTTGGCTCTTGGGAGCCTGGGGCGAGCTGCTTCCTGCTGTCCGGGCTGTTTCCGGGTGTGGGAGAGGCCCGCTCCCTCGGAGGCCGGGAGGGACCTGAGACCCTCGGGCTCCACAGCCTCGACTTCAATGGTGAGTTCCACCAAAGCCGCATGCAGTCTCGCTCAGTGAGGCCTCATCAGTTACCTATTTCCCCCAACGTATTTGTGAGAAACACCATTAACTGTTTGAGTTCAGGAACACTGAACGCCCTCTTACCAACAAAAGTACTAAAAATGGTTTGTGGCCGAGGAACTTCCTCTCCACGGTTCAAAGGAGAGGAAGCGAGAGTGCTGGGCGGCCTGAGCCCAGCCGGCTGCGGCTCCAGTGCCGGGCCCTCCAGGAACCGGCGGGCCTTGGCCCAGAGGGCGCGCCGCGGCCGCACCGCAGGCCCTGCCAGCCCCCGTGCTTCTTGCCTGTTCACTGCCAGTTTGAAAGCGGCACCGCAAGGAACAGAGCATCATTGCTGGGTGACGAGGTCTTACTAGGGTCCCTTCCCTGTGACCAGCCTCAGCCCCCAACCCCCGCCGTCCCTGAGCCTCCTGGTGCTGTTCACTGGGACCCAGGCCACCAGCCCCCGGGCTCGGACAGCCCAGCCAGGCTACTCACCAGATGCCTGGAGGAGCTGGCCAGCGTGGCTGGAGGCCTCTGCACTTTCAGGACGTCCCTGTAATCCACGACATCGAAGTTGCTCTTCCAAACCATCACCTGCGAGACCAACGGGTACCCAGAATTAGAGAGAAGCCCTCCAGTCCTTCATGGAGAAAATGGGCCAGGACAGGGCACTGGCCTCCCCCTGACACCCCAACCCAACTCTGGGACCTGCCCCTCCTCCCCAGAGAGCAGGCTTTTCTCCTGGACGCGCCCCCAACAGGTTTCTGCACTCGTGGGCCCTCCTGCCGGGACTGTCCCAGGTCCACGCCCCGTGGAGCTGGGTCCCCAGGCTGAATCGTCCACATTGGCACCACCTTCTCAGAGGGGCCTTCCCCCGCCCGCACCCCAACAGCTCCTTCAAAGCACTGGGGCCGCTCGGTACTGCTTCTCTGTCGCCCTTCTTTGTTTGTCACATCTCCCCACGGAAATGAGAGCTCCTGAGGGCCGAGGCCGGGCCTGTCGCGCTGTGGGGAGTGGTCAACACATGGACTCCGACCCAGACCACTGGCGCAAGGATCCCCACTCCAACCCCGGCTCCATGCCTCACAGCTCTGAGGCCTGGCATCAAGGAGAGACGGTCTGGACGCCCACCAGGTCAGGACCCTCAACACCCTGAGGCTTCCCAGATTCCAGGCTCTGGGCCAGACCCCAGGGACAAAGTCAGACCAGGGGAACAGGTCATCAGTGCTTAGCCGTCTGGGCAGGAGACACTGAGGCCTCAGCACACAGGATGACAAAGTAGGACAGACGTCTTCACACATGCCCTTTACAGCCATGGAATTGGGACACGTCAGCCCCTGGAACAGCACACAGGCAGGTCGGGAGCAGAGGGCGAGGGCTGAAACTCAGTTTTGTCCCCCACAGGGTGGGTGATGGGGGCCTGCCCCCAGGGCTGCCGTGCAGATGGAGGCAGAGCCCCTACCCTGCCCACCCCGCGAGGCCTGCCATCTGTCTGGTAACCCTCTGAGCGAACCTTCATCGGGAGCAGGAGGCCACTGGAGACCAGCCGCCCTGGCCGCTCCCTCCTCCCGACAGTGTGGGCAGGGTGGGCTTCACGCCTCTGCCACCAGGTTCAGGAGACCTGCCCCGGTGAAAACCTTGGGGCCCAGGTTTGAGTGCCCCACTGGCTGTGGCCTCCCGGTCCCCTGCCGGTCCTGGGCAGCATCGGCAGAGACCCCTAGACCACCCTCACTCACTTGCTCATCGGAGCCTCCAGAGGCAAAGTACTCCCCTGTTCTCGAAAAGGCAACAGCGGTGGCCGGACCCTGCAGGACAAACAGGACAGAACAAACACCCATGGTCACTCTAAATCCTGAAATGCACAGGGAGATACCTAGAGCTGGTGGATGCAGACATGGGACAGAGGCTGAGGGACCTGCGGGTGCTCAGGTATAAATGTCGGCTACCCTGAGACCTGTGACAGGCCCCCGAGCACCAGTGACAGGACCGAGGCCAGGCTGGGGGGCTGTGGGTGGGCAGAGGGAACTGAGCAGCCCTGCCAGGCCGGCACCACTGTCCCCACTTCCCGGGGGGGCCAGTAGGCAGAGAGGCACGCCAACTTACCCAGACCTGGCTTTGGGACCAGGACTTGGCCCTCTGGCGAAGCTGTGCCCCGCCCACACCACCCTGCAGCTGACCGGACAAGTGCAGAGCCCCAAGGAGGAGCCAGGCTGTTCGTGCAGTCACGGAGCCCCAGACAACCTCAGAGGCCAGGACCAGGGCAGGAGGGAGGCTGGGGCATGGGTCACCAAAGGAGCAACAGGATGCCACTCCCAGGGAGGGGATGTGCCCGTTCTGGCCTCCCAGGTGCTGAGGGTCCCACAACCATCTGAAGAGTGATGCCAGGCCTGAGCAGTGCCCAGGGAGAGTTTTCAGCCCACCACCACGCACCATCTCCTCCCCACTGAACTTTCCAGAGGAACGCTGGGCAGGAGGGAAGCTGTCCACCCACACTTCTGGAATCTACCCATGGCTCCTCTCCACGGTGCCCACGGTGGGGTGCTAGAGAGAGGCTAAGTTCAAGGCCAGCTAACCCCAAGTTCTGGGCCTGGCTTGGAGCCCTTCACCTGCATTGACCCCTAGTCCTGGGGATGGTTTGTGCGCTCACCCTCCCTAAGGGGCAGCAACACGGCCTCCAGCTGAGCCCGTCCCTGGGCCAGGAATCACAGCAGCCGGCAGTCTTGCACAGCTACCCACAGGACAAAGGAAGGGGACCCATCGTTCCCTGTGGGACCCCAGGCAAGTCTGGCCAAGTATGAAATTGCAGGGCAAAGCTGCACGACCAGGGCCCGAATGTGGGCTGGGGTGGGTGGAGCATCACCCGGAGACCCTTCAGGTGACAGTGCCCGAGGGCTGCAAGGTTAGACCTACGGGTGTGCACGTGCGTGTCTAGTTTCAGGTGATTTTCACTGGGTTCTTGGAAACCTTTGTAATTCCCATACTTTGAATTTTTAACAATATGTGGCGTTGCTACATTAACATAAAAACAAAAATGACAAAACTTATTTTCATTTTGAAGAAAAACAAAGTGGGAAGAAAAGAAACCAGTACACAGAGCACCGTAAATGCTGGGCTCTTTGCCTGCCCACTGAGGAGTGGCAGGCTTCCAAGAAGTCACAGTCACCTTTCCTGTCATCACCCAACCCCCAGATGCCAAACTGGGGACAAGATGATGGAAACCAAGCAAGGGTGGCAGCAGCGGCCAGCAGCCCGTGGCTCAGCGGGCTGTTCAGGAGCAGAAAGCAGGTGCTGGGAGCTTTGCTGGCAGGAAGTGCGAGAACTCTCCTTGGAGTCCACCTGCTGGGAGACTCCGAGAGCAAGCTGCGAGGGGAACCCCAAGGCATGAGGCCTGCAGTCCCCGCCACAGCGCCGTGCACCAGGGGCCTCGGGGTTGCTGGAAAGAGGCGCCTCCACAGGCTGCTGTCCACCCATCTGCGTGCCTGTTGGGGGTTCCCGGGGCACTCGGAACACGGCACAAGCGGGCCCTGGGCCCGCTGCAAACCAAAGTCAGCCTGCACCGTCACAGTGCCAACCCCTGGCCAGCCTTCGGCCCCCCGCCCAGCGTGCCTAGCCCTGCGGGCCACCTGCTGCTCAGACTCCTGCCGGGGCTTCTCCTCCTCCGCCTTCCTTCTGAGCCTCCTGAATTCAGCTCTTCGCCCAGTTATTTTCGGTCTTTCTTGGTTTTAAATAAATTCATTTAAAGCTATAAATTTGGCTCTGATTATCATCTCAGCTAGATTCCAAAAGTTCCCAATGCGCAATGCTCTCCAGGCCGTTCCCCTTCAGGCGGCCAGCCCCAGCTCTGAGGTTCCCTCATCCGGCCATCAGTGACCAGGGCAGGCGGTCCGGTTTCCAAACCCAGGGGCTCGACATCTCTTCCACCACCGACTGTGGTCAGACAGAACACACGGTTTTTGAAACTGTTCTGCCCTCTGGTGGCTTACTCCTTTTGTTAGTCACTGCTGACGAGTTCGTCCACTGGCTGGTGCGTCCGTGACTTGAGTGTCACTGCAGCTCTTGGCTGGGCCTTCAGCAGCGTGCAGCCCACCTGCCCGACTCCTGGAGGCGCTCACCTGCCTGGGGTTCTGCCCCCCCCCCCCGCCAGGTCCCCCCCACCGCCTGCCCAGTGAGAGGATCCTGCCCAATCATCACAAGCACTGGATGAAGCCTGGCTCCACCCCTCACCAGCCCGACTGGCCCTGCCCCACCAGCCCTGGAGCTTGGGGGACCGGCGCTCCTCCGTTTCACCACACGGCCCCTCTGCCATGCCAGCCTCCGGACTGAGGGGTCTATGCTAACCAGTTCCTTCCCTCTCACGTGACAAGGCATCAATGGAGGAAATGTTAAAAAGGCAAGCCAAAGGGGCCCATGCTGTTCAAATCTCACAGCTCTTGGTGACTCTCACCCTGCAGCCCTGCAGCTCGTCCAGACCTCTCCGCTCCCCCCACCCCTCCTGCCTGCCCCCCTGCAAGCCTGAACTTTGACCCCTGTGCCACAATAGCTACTCAGGCAAAAGCCCAGCCAGGTACCCCCACCCACCACCACCTTGGAAGGGTTTTGAAGTTTTTCAGTGGCTGCCATCGAACAAACAGGAATGTCACCCCAGATGCCCAAGTCAGAGGTAGAACAGCCACAGCCCAACGAGGCCCGAGAGGCCTCTGGAGCGGGCACCCTGGTCTCTTGCCCGAGCCCAGGCCGTTTCTTCCGCAAACCCTGGGAGGCTCCTACACTCGCTCGCCAGCCTCTGCAGTGGGCTGGCGGGTCCCAGGGGGCAGCCCTGGGTGAGGAGACCTCAGGGAGGGACTGCTGCCCAGCAATGCAGAGGCTCTCTGCTGACCACAGCCAAGGACACCCGCTCCCAGCCTCCCACTGGGGGCTGCAGGCAGGGGCGAGGGGGCCAGGCACACAGCGGAGTCACTCAGGTTGAGGCAAGTGTGCTTTTACCTCTTGATGTTCCTTCACCTCCCCAGGAGGCGCCCCATTATGCAAGCCAGAAGGTCTGACTTCCCTTCCCCAGAGCAGCCTGAAGGCCCCTGGCTCACTGCTGGCCCACCCCCCTCACCCCTACTGGGTGAGGCCCCTGTGGCTTCTGTCCTAGCCCCAGCAGAGGCCCCAGCCTGAAACAAGCTCCCAGGCTCCGGGCAGCCATGCACTGGCTGCTTGCCCACACCCGGGCCGGCTGGGGTTCCGGGGGCAAATGCCGCCTGTCGCCACTCGGCTGCTCCACCGCAACACAAACACAAACTGCACAGCCGCGAACACCAGATTTAGCTCCCACCCCCGGCCCACCCACCCTCCTGTCCCAAGCAGCTCTGGGACGTAAATCAAGTGAGCATGGCTTGAGATGCTTCAGAAAATACTGAAAAACAAATCTCTATTTCTAGCACGCTGCCTGCACGCGCACCTCGCAGGGCTACGGGGCCCTGCTCAGGCACCAGGTTTCAGGCAAAGGAGGCGGAGGTGGTGGGAAAGCCTTCCCCCTCCGCCCCTCACCCCACTGCACTGCACCGAGGCTCCCGTGCAGCCCAGAAGCCACACACCCGGCCCCCATCTGTCCCGGATCCTTTGGGCAGCAGGGACGCCCTCCCCTCCTTCACTAGGAAGGCTTTGCAGCACCTCGGAGAGGGCACGGCCCCCAGCCAGCCCGGCACCCTCAGACACCCAGCCAGGCCTCCAGGACTCAGGCCCTGGAGAAGATGGCCCAACGGATGGGGCGCTGAGGGCACCTCACACAGACCTGAAGAACAAGGGGCCGGCAGGCCACACCCACTCAGGGCAGCAGGGGGAAGGTGTCTGGGTCAGGGAACCCCCGCAGCCCACCCATCTGGGGACAGAGTTCAGGGGCTGTGTGACAACAGAGAAGCCCAAGTGAGAGGGTGTTCTGGGGGAGATGAGGAGAACCCTAAACAAAATAATAAGCCAGATAAACCTTTGAGGGACTCTGTGGGTGGGTGGGCAGAGGAGACAAGGGCCGCAGCCCACAGGGGGAAAGGCCGGTGGCTGTGTCCCTGTGCCCACCAACCAGGACTAAGGCATCAGGAACCCCCACCACAGCCTCAGTTTCCTAACAAACACCAGCGACGCTCCCAGGCACCAGGACTGCGCCCACTACGACAACTCTGAGTGGCCTTCCAAGGTGCTACTGCCCACAGCAGCTGGAGGTCACGATCCGAGAGCGGAAGCACAAGGAGGCTAACATCTGTGAGGACCTGCCTCGAGGTGCCCAGCGACAGATACTCGGCCTCTCCTGGGGTGAGGCCGGAGCGGCCGTCGTCCACGGACAAGGGTATACCCAGCGAAGCCAAGGGCTGGTCCATGTCCCAGAGCAGGGGGCATGGCCTGACCCTGACGCCCCAGCCCTCTCCTCCGGCCCAAAGCCTCCCCGCAGTGAGGCTCAGGCTTCCTTGGCTGCACAAACTGGGAAGCCCCTGGTTTGCCAGCCCAGAATCCAGGGTGCAAGCTGTGTGTTCCTGAAAACACTGGGGTGTTTCCTTAGAAAGCTGCACACAGTCACCCACCAGACAAGACAAGGCCGTGCGACCCCTTCCCAAACGAACACATCCCAGCACCTGGCCTCCATCAAAGAAGCTGGCAAAGGCACCTGGTGCGGGCTCCTCAACAGCCGGCACCACCCGGAGCCCGCCTGGTGCTCCAGGAGCTGAGGCAGGGCGGGAGGGCCAGGCGCCACGTCTGGGCTGCGCCAAGTACCGGCCCGCTCTATTGGCTTGCCCCCGGCGGGCAGATGCAGCTGGAGGCAGAGGATAATAGGTAGGGAGGCACCTCCGACGGGCCCTGCAGCCTGTCCTGCCCCCACCATGCAAAGGCTCTGTGCCTGCTGGAGCTGTCTTTGGACACCTGCCGCCTCTCACTGGAGGGTCATCGCTAAGCCCGGACCAGCTGGAGTAGCCAGGCCGTGGAGGGGCCAAAGCTCGAGTTGGTGGGTGCCAGCAAAGGGCCAGCCCCACTCCCTGGTCCACCACCCAAATCGACTTGGGTGCTGCTCAGCCCGTGGAAGCCTCTTTCCAGTCACTCGGCCCCCAGGGGCAGCCTGGTACAGTGCCCACGGGCAGGGCCTGTTGACCTGGGACGGCCCTCTGCAGCTCAGAGCCCCAGAGCCAAGACCGCTGGTCGGAAGTGCCAGAACTCCTCGGGCCTGCACGAAATGCGTAACTCACGCCCACCCTGCCCCACAAAGCAAGCCAGCCTCACACGGGCCAATCGTGTGCCAGACACTCTCCAAACTGCTGGCCTGGTCAGACTCCTGGGCTGCCCCGCTGCCGTGAGGCCCCGCACACAGGCCGGCCCCGAAGACTGCACTGGGTGACCCTGCTCTCAGCAAGTGCCTCTGCCCTGGAGCTCAGGCCTGAGGGGACCACTGCATGGCACTTCTGGCCTCAACCCAGCTAAGGGAGCCAGGCAACAGCACTGCCCCCCACTGACTCTCCCTCCCTGCTCTCACTGCTGCTGTGCTCCCCCAGCCCTGACCTCAAACAGGACACTCCCTGGCACGGAGCGCCCCCTCCTGGCCAAGGTGTCACCCCAGCATCGCTCCCTGTGCTGGCTTCACCTTGGGCCTCTGGCTCCTCTCCCACCTGTGCTGTCCCTTCTCCAAGGTGGGGAACAGGGAGCCCGCGGGGCTGCTGCTCCACTGGCAGAAAAACGCAAGTCTCCCGGCCCCCAGCCCACTCAGGGCTCTGCCTGGAGACTGTCACTAGGTGGTCCTCCAAGTCTAAACCAAGGTGCCGCGGGGTTGGTCCCCTCCTGCTGGGCCAGAACGGGACATGCAGCAGCAGACCTGGGACACACGCTGCCTGGGACACACGAGTGAACGTGGCGGGCCTGGTTCCCTCCCGGCTCTGCCCCTCGACCGTGCCCCTCCGCCTTGAGACCCTGCAGGTGCGGCCCACCCTCCAAGCCTCTGTGTCCCCATCTGGAATCAAGAGTGCTTTCAGATCCGCCATCCTCATCTGTGTGACAGAATCTCTGGGCACCTGGGACCAACTGGGAGGCCTGGGGCTGCTCAGCCACAAGCTTCAGGAAGCGGCTGGGGGCAGCTGTGCTCAATGAGACACGAGCCACCTCCCAGGCCAGAATGTGAAAGCCCAAGTGGCCCCCGAGCCCAGCGCGCACCTTTCTAGGAAGACAAGGAGGGAACCGATGTCATAGCGGGAGCCCGGGAGGACTCCACACCTGCGTAGACACTGGGGTGGGGCTCCAGCCTGGCCCTCCGCTGCCCCTCCTGGGACGCCCCTCATGCACCCTCAAGTCAGGACCGTGGCGGAGGAGCCGGAGGACAGCACAGGCTCAGCCTCTGCAGATTCTCCCCCCCCACCCCCACTCCCGGGGTTCAGCAAAGCAGCCCCGCTTTAGCCCACTGGCCCTGGCTGGGGGGCTCTGTTTTAACAAACTGCCCAAATCCAGGCTGCTCAGCCACACCGTCCCACCTCGGTAAAGCACTGTTGGCTGACTTCATCCCCGCAAACCCAGGGCTGGAGCAGACCCTGGGCACCGAGGGCAAGGGCTGTGCTGGGGCAGCCCTGTTCTGCACCTTCACGCCTCGATATCCGCCCAGAGACCAAACGCTCTGGTCATGATGCTGCTTCCCTGCCATTAGGATGTGTCCAAAAGGACATCCTTTCCAGCCAGAGGGGGCACAGGATGCCAGCCAGTTCTGCCCAAGTGGCCACCCGTGGGACCCAGCACTCAGCTGCCACCACCAGTCAGGAGTGCCTGACAGGCTCACTGCTTGTCTAGGGGAAGAGGAGGAAGAGGGAGAGGAGGGGGAGGAGGGAGGAGAAGGGGGGAGGAGAGAGGCAGGAGAGTCAGACCTCTAGGAAGAGGCTGGGGGCTCCCAACCCTGTGCCCCAGAGTGGGGCTGGTGTTGTGGGTGCCCCGGGGGAAGACCTATGGCAGGGTGACGCGGAGCCCATGTTTGACAGGGACTCTGAGGTGGGGAGCAGAGACACACCTGAGCCGCACGCTCTGGCTCCCACGTTCGCTTGCCAACCTGGTGGGGAGGTCGACCCCCCTTCACCAAACCATCCAGGTGCCGCCTACGACTCGGCCCGCTGCACCTGGTCTAACTCGGCTCCGCTGTCACGGCTCTGCTGACCTCCTGGGGAAACCCTGACTCCTAGGCCACGCGCCCCAGGCAGTGGGACGGTAACATCTGCTTTGTGGCCCAGGTGCCCAGCCCAGCAGCTGGGAGCGGGTGAGGAACGACAGAGGGCACAGTGAATGGAGGGAAGCTCGGGTCTTCCTTCTTCTCTCCTCTGGGCACCGGGGGCTCGGAGCCTGTGCAGCCACTTCCCACTCTGCACCCCACGCCACCAGCTGCCCCTCAGCCTGGGCCCCGCCACGTCCCATGGCAGACACAGAACTGTGCAGTTTCGCCTCCAGGAGGACGACTGACAAGGATCTCAGACTACCAGGTGGGCCAGGTGCACGAAGAGCCCCCACAGGGGAGAAAAGGCGCCCTGGTGGTGGGCTGCGGCTGCGTGCTGCCTTTCCTTTTCGGGGGGAGCAAGCGAGGCTGCAGCAGGCGCTGGTTCCCCGTGCCCTCCTGGCTATGGGATCCGAAACGATTTCGGAGCTAGGTCACTGCCTGGCCAAAGAGCTGGCTGAGGTGGCTCCTGGCAGGACCCACAGTCGCCCAGCCCAGCGGCTGTATTTACAGCTGTGCCTGCTGGCCGCCCTGCCCTGAGCACCAGCAAGTCTGACTCGGAGCACAAGGGGCCGCCGGCCACAACTGAGGGTGGCAAGCAGCCTTCAGGTGCCTTGGAAGCAGGAGAAAAGGCCCATGGCCCACCTCAGCCGTGGCAATGACCCTGATGCCTGACCCTGACAGCAGTGGGCCCCGGAGAGCCCTGGACTACACCTCACACTCGGCTATCGGCCCCCTCGGCACAGCCCGTCCCCTCTCCCCCTTCTGCCTGCCCCTTCCTGCTCACAGGTGGGGAAGGGCAGACGGGAAAGCCCCACGTGACTGGGGTTATCCTGATGCCAGATGCTCAGCCACAGCTGCTGGGGTGAGCTGGGGGAGGGGTTAAAGGCCACCGCCAGGCCAGCTGCTGGAAAGAACAGAGGCACCCCCCACCCCCCACCAGAGCCCAGGGACTCCCAGACACACGTGCAGGAAGACTCCCTCCTGCTGAGTCTCCATGGCTACGTGGCTGCAGGACCCCTGCAGAGGCAAGTCAGGGCACGGGTTCCAGGGCTCCACTCAGGTGGGACCAAGGAATGCCCGAGGTCACAGGTGGACAGTCAGCACTGAGCCCAGGGACAGTCCAACAACTGCGTCCAGGTGACTCCCGCCCTCACCCCCACAGCCCCTTCTCAGCTGTGGGGCCCAGCACAGCACCCTGACACAGGTCGCGGGTCTGGTGGGGGGTGGGGGCGGGAGCGGGGGAGGGCAGACCTGTCTCTGCACCTCACCCCATGGCCCAGGCAGGGAGGGGCCATGGGAACAGCTTCCACAGGCTCCAAGGGAGGGCAGCCCAGGGACCCGGCCCACTTGGGCCCTGACCCGCCCCTCCGTGCCTCGCAGGCCAGCGCTCTCACCTGGTGCCCATGGAGCGTGTAGAGCAGCCGACCCTCCCTGAGGTCCAGGATCTTCAGGGTGGAGTCACTGGAGGCGGAGGCCAGGTAGTTTCCCGACGGGTGGAAGGAGAGGGCGTTCACCGCCGCACTGTGCACTGGGGAAGGGACACCATTAGGCCCGGGCCGGGAGGCCGGGGGCACTGCTGCGGCCTGAGGAGCGGCCATCAGGGCCAACAACGGTGAGGCTGGGGTGGCCACCGCTCAGAGGGGCTGTGAGGACCCCCACAGGGGTTGCCCAGGACAGTGGTGCCATCCACAGACAAGAGGAGACCCATCTGGACAGAGGGCAGGCGGCAGAGGGCAGGCAGCGGAGGCCCAGGGCGGTGGAGGCGTGTGGCTGGGCAGAGGGACAGAGTGACTCCCCCAACCCTGTGCCACCACACAGAGCAGAGCGGGCGCTGCACCATGACACTGCCTCCCATACGGCCCTGGCTATCCCCCGATGCCTCCGCCCCACAGGACGGGTCGGGCTGGGTTTCCGGCCCACCCTGTGGCCTGAGCCAGCGCCCGACGCCCTGAGCCTGTGTCCTCCATCACAGCACCCATGGGTGAGCAGCACTGTGGGGGTGCTACCAGGTCGAGCCTGGCAGAGTGCTGCAGAGTGGGCCCCTGATGTCCCTCTCCACTTCCCCAGACGTCCCCTGCAGCAGCCGGCCCTGCCGTCCTCCCCCTCAGCAGCTCCACCTGGTCCACAAACTGCTTCTCCCACTTTCCCAGCCCACCCCCCACCAGCTGTCCCGGTGTCCCTCGCTTCTCCAAGACCTGGCCGCCCAGCCCTGTTGGCTCCCCAGCTGTGGGACTTTTCACCCCTTGTTCTCCGTGGGTGGGAGAGACTTGCCCACCTCTCCCCTTGGCTTTGAAGTTCCTTGCTCAGTCACCTCCTCAGGCAAGCCTCCCTCGACCCCCTGTCCGGGCCACCCCTGGCTAGTCTCCAGCCAGTGCCCTCTTCACGGCAGCCTCTGGACTTAGACAGAGTGCCCGAGACCACGTGCTCCACCAGGCAGGGGCTGCGTTGGGCCCTCAGGCGAGTAGGACCCAGGTAGGCCACATGGGGACAGTGACGTGTGGACCAGCAACATCACAGCTTTGTTACAGCTTCTCAGAAAGACCCAGGGCCTTCGTGCTCATCACCCCGGGCCTGGGGAGGGAAATCAGAGAAACGAAGATGACCGAGAGCCCTCGAAATCGGAACTGCTGCAGTCTCATGGCAAATTCAAAACCAACCCCATTCTGGCACTGCCGGGCCATCTGCGGGACCCCTGCTGGGCCAGGGAACACAGCCACCACAACCGGCTCCACGGCACAGGCCCAAGCTCATGGGGGAGGCAGCCAGGGCCTTGCATTCACGTCCGACACTGTCTAACCCAGGGCTGTGGGGGAGGGCCTGCACCCTGAGGGTTTGACAAAGCTGGTGGCAGGGGGAGCAGAGACATAAAGCCACAGCCAACCCCAGGCAGGGACTGAACAGGCACAGACCGACCACAGGCGGTACTGAAAGAGCATCAATGACAGGGTGACCGTCAGTAGTCGCTGTGGAGGGACACACACACATGTGCAGGCCCGGAGAGGAAGGACAGCAGTCAAGGGACTTTTCATTTCCACTCTGCACACCTCCCAAGAGTACTTTCCCCACCGGAAGAGCCCCCAGGACAGCACAACTGCAGGAAGGATAAGACATGAGTCCTTCGTGCTGGGAGGCAGGAGACCCCAGCCCGGCTGGGCTGATCCCTCGGGCCCCTCAGATCACCACCTGCAGGCTGAGAGCCAGGACCACGCATGCCCAAGGGCTGCTAGGCTCCCCAGAATGCCAGTTTCCAGCGGCAGTGCAGTGGGGCAGGAGGGGGCAGAGCACTGTGAGAGTCCTGCCCACCCAGGACCCCTGGGCTCCCTTAAATGCCACTCCCAGGACACACCCCCGCCCAGGACAAGGGGCAGGTCTCCAGGAAGAACGCAACACCAGGCCCACCTGAGACAAAGCTGGCAAAGGAGCAGTGGGGGCAGGAGACTGGACCAGGGGAGTTTAGGGCCCCCAGCACCACCAGGGCATGAACGCCACACTGGGGCCTCCCACCTGGATCAAGGCTGCTCAGGTTGGGGATGTCTCCTAGAGGAAGGGTACAAGCCCTGCTCCACCACAAATGGCATCAGTACCAGAGGCTCCTGGCTGGCGGGAGGGGGGCCCACAGAACCGTCTGTTCCCAAGAGAGCTCAGCCTGGCACGCCAGGCGTGGGGACGATGCCCCAGGAGGGGCGCCAACCAGTCTTTCCCACGCGCCCTCCCACCTCTTCCACAGGCCCCCTCCAGCCTGGGGTGGCCCCTCTGGCTCTAGAGAGGGTGTGGGCCAGCCAGGGAGGCCTCGTGGTGAGAATCAGGCCCACACAGCAGCCCCGCAGAGGTTCGACTACCTCCCAAGGGGGTGCGTTGCCCATCACGAGCCTGACGAGTGACTGTCCACAAACAATCCATTTTCAACAAGCCCAGAGTGGCAGGCCCTGGTCTCAGCTCCGTGGCAGGTACCAATGGTCACAATCGACAGATGGGGACCACCTGGAGACAGTTGTGGGTTCCTGGCTATTACCCCCCCAACCCTCACCTCTATCCCAAAGATGGGATTCCCAACTCTGGGTCAGAGATACACCGACATCAGGATTTGACAGGTCACCAGGGGCCTGGGAGGGTGGGACGGAGGCCACAGCAGACCCTGCCCCTAAATGCTGGGGAGTGGTCACAGCTTGTGGGCAGCAGCGGCTGAAGGAGAAACCTGGCTGCCACAATCCACTCTGCCCACCCAGCTCCACATGCAGAGACCGTCTGCAAACCTGACCTGCTGCCTGCTGGGCTGCATACTAGCCAAGGGGCCTGGAGGAACCCCAGGTACCCAAGCAGAAGGTGCTTTTCTGGGACAGTCCCCACCCCCAATGCCAGTACCAAGGGCTGGGCTGACCGCACCCAGAGTGGCCTCTCAGGATCGGCAGCTGGCACTGCCCATGACCTGGTGGAGCCGTGGATTTGTGCAAGGAAGGGGCCCTGATCCCAGCACCCAGGACACGCTGAACACTCCTCCCCGTGAAGTCACGTCAGTGCCGTGCAAGGCTGGTGCGAGAGGGCCAGCGAGGAGGCCGGATCAGGTGGACAGCCTTCTTACCAGCCCTTTCCGTCTCAAAGTGACAAAGGATGCAAGCTTGCCTGCCGGCTGCACAGCTGGTTTAAGCCCTCTGTGACCACCCCTGGGGCAGGGTGGGGGCCTGCCGAGGCCAGTGGACTGAGGCCCAGGGGCTCTGGGCTGCAGCTGCAGCTTCAGAGGAGGGTCGAGACCTCCAGGTGCCTGAGCGAGTCAATGACTAGAATCAACAAGGAGCCCAGCGCGGGGTGCAGGCGGGCAGACGCCAGACTCGGGGGGCCTTGAGTTGGAGACCCAGACTCACAGCTTCCTGCTGCAGGACCATAGGCCAGCCTCAGTCTACGCACCCCCAGCCCCCAGTGACTCGGGGGAATGGCAGCTCCATCCTGCTGATCACCCAGGCCTGTCCCTGGATGACAGACTTGCGTGTGCCCGGACGCCATAAGGCAGGCCGTGGTTCTGGGACCGGGACTGCTGCTCAGCAGTCTGAACAGCCTTCGCGTGGGCTCGGAGCATATGGAGCCTCACCCACCTCCGCAGGGACGGGCGCTTGGGACGCCGCAGACCCGCCCCCCGCCTCCCCCCACCTGGGAGATCAGAGCTGCTCCCCACAGTGATCGGCCAGAGCCAACCAACTCTGCCTGAGACAAATGGCACTGGCCGCCTACTGCAGCCCAAAGTGACTCCAACCACCCAACCCGGGCCAGTAAGTGCCCTGCATGCAGCACAGCCACGGGGCAGCTGGCTACACACACCACAATACTATGAACAAAGTTCTCGCAAAAGAGCCAACAACCTCACACCCCCAAAGCCCACACCAGGGTGCCTGGTGCTCCCCGAGTCACCCGGGACACTTTGGCTGATACGGTATCCTTAAACTCACTCCCTTGGGGATCCAGGACAGGAAAGCACTCAGGCGTCTGCTGCCAGAGACCTGGGAGCCTTTCTTAGAAGATCAGCCTGCAATCAGAACCCCACCCCACAGAGGGTGGGGGAGCATCTCCAGGAGCAGGTTCTACTGCGGGGGCAGGACCTACCACCCCCACCCACTGCCCAGCCTGAGGGATCAGGAACCCCAGGGACTTCTCTGCAGCATCCCCTTCTCTCTTCCAGTGCTTGCGCCACCCCCTCCTGCCCACCCTCCGCACGAGACCCCATGATCCTTCACTCCCAGCTGTCGCACCCCCCCCCACTCCAATGCTGGGGGAGGGGCCTGCCCCTCCCCAGAGCTCTGCAGACCTTCTCCTCCAGGGCCCCTCAGTTGCAGGGACCCAGGATGTGGCCTCACCCGGTTCATGCCCTAGGTCCCTGGGCCTGCTCCGCCCCACCCTGACGCTCAGCCCTCACCTAGACACCGGGCACAGACAGCCCACCCACCAGTCACACAGGCTCTTGGCTTCCTTCCCAGGCTGCTCTCGGCACTGCTGTCCTCATGTGCCCCGGTCCCTTTGCTCGAATGACGGACCGGTCCCGGCACAGCCAGCCTGCCTGCACCTTTGGAACATGGGCCAGATCTTGGCATCCAAGGCCCTCCCGTGTGGGTCCTGCCAGCACCAGGCCAAGTTCATAACCCAGCACCGGGAGGCTGGGCCCCTCCCACCACGCCCCCCCTCCCGCCCGGCACTGTACCGTGAGCCTCAGAAACCCATAAAGAAGGCACTGTTACCAATCCCTTCACCTAGGGATCAGCCCCACCTGTCCCAGCCCTTCCTCCGACCCACCCACACGCCTCCACACCCGCCCACGTTCCCTGGTCTCCAGTCCAGGCCTGGGGCAGAAGAAAGGCCTCTAAGCCTGGTGGGGAGGGAGAGGCATGGTCTCTGATGAGAAGACAGACCCCAGCAGCTCTGTTCTAGAAGTCTCTGAAAGAGGTCAGTGACAGACCCCAGGGAAAGCCCCGGTGGCTCTTGTGGCTGGCCTCTGCCACCTGGTGGGGCTGTGGGGTACTGCAGGCTGGCCTGGCAGGAACACCACACTCCTGACTCCAGACTGAGGCTCAGCATCCCGTCAGCCTCACCCGCAGTGCACCTGGCTCCCGCTTTGCGCCAGGCACTCTGAGTCCTCCACACGGACCACTCAACATCCTGCCCACACCCCTGCGAGGCAGCCCTGTCACTGTCCCAGGAAGCTCAGGGGCTGGGGACCCCACCGGGAAGCTGAAGCTGCTGCAGTGCCCACCCTCTGCCGTGAGCTTTTCATGACTATCGCTCCTCCTTCATGGGAGGCCTGTCACTCTGGTGACCCCAAGAAAGTGCTGTCCCCAAGCCCCTAAGAACCAGCTGGGAGGGGATTGTGGGGGCTAGGGGGAGAGCTCTGAACCACGGGCCCCACACCTTTGTTCAGCCACATCTGTCTTGTTTTCAGGTGTGAATTTTTAGGAGTGAGCCCATGAACTTTAAACTCAGTCCCAAGTCACCGATCCCAGTTCTCTGCAGCCAGCTCTGCTCTTCCTGGGCTCGGCCCCAAGCCCACAGGCCCACCAGCCATGCTGCCTCCCAGGTCCTCCTGTGGCCCCAGGCCCACGGCCGGTGACTTGAGCTGCTGCCTGGTCACACCTGCTCAGACAAGCACTGCGCCCGAGCACCTTCAGCTACCACACCCAGATCACACAGGGTCTGCCCCCGCCCCCCACCCACCTCGACTGCCTGAGGCCCCCTGCCTTCCAAGGGCTGCAATTAAATAAGGGGTACAGCCCAGGGCTGGCCCCTGAACCCGAACCCAAGCTAAACTGACCATACAGCTCATGGTCTCACATCTGTGGAGGATACCGTGGGACCCCAGGCAGCCAATGTCCCACCAACACTGACCTCTTTTGACAGACCTGTCCCCTTTATGGGTCAAGGGTTGTCACCTTGGACCTGGAGGGCAGAGCCTCCATTACAGGGAGAGGCAAGTGGCACGAGCAGCCCGAGAGGAGCCCTGGCCAGAGAGCCATTGAGGGCTCTGCCTCCAGCCGAGCCATGACTCGTAAGTGGGCACAAAGGGCTGATGAGTGCTGGGCAGCACCAAGGCTCCACTCGGGAGAGCCATGCCTCAGAATGCAACCCCGGGAGACCCCACCGACCTGGGGCTCCTCCCCACCTGTAGGGCTGTCCTTAGGCCCCTGTTAGCCCCCAGTGACAAGCCAGACGCTGGCGGCCTGGGTCCAGGCGCCTGCACGTGGACACTCACACTGGTAATGCTGCAGCAGCCGGTGAGTCCGCACGTCCCACAGCTTCACCGTGTTGTCCATGCCAGCAGCAGCGATGCACGTGCCACTAGGGTGGAAGTCCACGCAGGTGACAAAGCTGTAGAGACAACGCCGCCGCAGGCTAAGGAGCTCTGCACCGGCTCGGAGCAGATGCCAAAGCCCCAGCACGGCCCCATCCCACACCTGGTCATGCTGTCCACAGACGCTCCCTCCCTCCCTCCCTGTCTCTGCAGCAGGTGGCCGCAGAAGAGCGAGGAGGAGCGGGCAGCAGCAGTGGCTGCAGTGACCTGAGCTGGACTCACCAGAAAGCGTCACCTTCTACACACAAGGAAGGAAAGCAGTCTTTAGACCGAGGGCCAGCTGGCTGTTCAGGCTTTTGGGGTCCCTGCCAGACACGAGGGCCCTCACCACCCCCATGGGGGCCTCCAGGCTGGTATGGACAGCTCTCAGGAGGAGCCCCGACAGCAGGGGCAGAGACGGGGGCTCATTTAGGGACCCAGAGCAGTGAGTCCCTGCGCAGATGCAGGCTCCTCCCCCTCCCGATGACAGGGCAGCACTAACGGCCAGTCTGCTCCGAGGCCAAGAGGACCCTTCTGCTTACAAAGCCCCTGCCACAGAGGACACACCCATGTGCCTTTTGGGGTCTGGGCACAACTGCTTCCAGACAGACGTGTCACAGTCCCGAGAGCCAGAAAGTGAAGGGAAAGAGGCGCCCCATGAATGACGCGCCCCATGAATGACATGCCCCGAGGCTGCGCACTCCCCTCACTGCCCAGGATGGGGAGGAGGTTGAAGCTTCCAGCCACACAGGAGAAGGTGGGGCCCGGAGCAGCAGAGCCCTGGTCGCCGGCCTCGCCGGCACCTCCGCCCACAGGCAGGGGAGGGTCTGGGGACTCACCCGCCGTGCTCGCAGTATGTGTGGACGCACTCCCGGCTGGTCTTGTCCCACAGCTTGACGGTCTTGTCATCGCTGGCGGACACGATGAGCCGCCCATCGGGGGAGAACCTGAGTCGAGCAGGGCACCAGTCGCACCGCAGGCTGGCAGATGTCACGGGCACCACACACCGCCTCGCACGGCACCGCCCATCGGCTGTGCCCACTACCAGCACCCAGGGACCAGCGGGGCCACATGCCCTGCTCTGACCCAGCGACCCTCTGAGGTGCAGCAGATGCAGCAGGCACAGCAGGCCCCCGCCACTGCACACGGCACGTGGCGGTGCTCACACTGACCGCTGGTGCTGCTTGGCATTACAGCCAGAGAGGGTCAGCGGCACACAGCTACCAGCAGAGTGGGGGTCCTGGGGTGCCACTGCCAAAGGACAGTGCAGGCTTGACCCTTATCTGTTGGCCTGGCCCCTCCCATTCTCAGAAGCCTGATGGTGAGACCTCTCAGAGCACTCAGGGACCTCCCAGGACAAAGGAACAGGTGCTGTGGAGAACAAGTAAGTTGCATGGGTCCCCAGAACACAGCCATAGTCCCTGACCCTGGATTCTATGGGGTCCAGTGTCCCCAGATTCCAACCTCTTCCACTGGAGAAAGACTCGACAGGCGAGGTCTCTGTCAAGAGGACAGAGACAGCTGGGAGCAGGCAGACCTGTGTCTGCGACTCTGGGACCTGGGAGGCCCTCTGCGTCAGCCCGTCCCACGGCACTGCCACCTCTGGCAGCTCTGCAACAGAAGCGACCTCGGGCAGAACATCCCCAGGACCGCAGGCAAGCCTCCGTGCCGGAGACTCAGGTTCAGCCCGGCTCTGCCATTTGCCCGCCATGTGCCCGGGGGCAAGGTCCTGCCCCATGCTGAGCTGCAGCCTGCTCACCCCCACGACAGGGTGACACTCCCCAGCTTGTGGGACTGCCAGGCAAAACCAAAAGGCAGTGGAGGGAGGCGGTGCAGACGTCACCTGAGTGTGGCTGCTGTTCATTGGGGGCCCTGACGTGTCACCTCAGGCTGCGTTGGCCCAGATGTCAGTCACCATAGCTGGCCACAGGATGACTGATCTGTCACACATCAGCTCAGCAAAGCTTCTTTACCACTCACAACATCAGAGCTATCACTGTTCCCACCGGCCAGGCGAGGGTGCGCTCCGGAAGCTGGAGGAGCGGCGGTCCGCCCTGGGTCCTGAGGCCCCCACCCCCCGAACCCCGGGCTCCTTCCGGGGCCCAGGGCGGATGCTCACCTGGCACAGCGGACCCAGTTGATGTGCTGGCTCAGGGAGAAGAGGAATTTCTGGCGATGAGTTGACCACACCTTGACTGTCTTGTCATCGGAGGCCGTCACCAGGGACTGGCCATCGCTGCAGAAGTGGACGCTCCTCACAGTGGCCGTGTGGGCACGAAACACAGTTGACTCGCCTTTGCTGTGTAGACAGGCACCCAGAGTCGGTGACATGAGTGCCACCAGCACGGCAACACTCTCACGCCTACCTGGGCCTGAGCACCCCAAGACCCCCAGGAGCAGAGCCCTGGCCACCAGGCAGCCCCCTGACAGGACTCGGATCCACCCCAAGTTCCCCTCCCAAGCCCAATAGGAGGGCCCCAACTGAAGCCTCAGCTTCTGACAGCACCTCCTCGGGAGGGGGGGAGATGTCCCCGTGACCAGTCCGGAGCCAGGGTGGGGACACTGCTGGCACCAGGGCCTCAGACTCAGACAGGTCCCTCCCAGTCTGTGACTCACACGTTGGGCACCCAGATGCGGACAGTCTTGTCGCGAGAACCCGAGGCAAGCAGGTGTCCAGAAGGGGAGAAGTTCACAGAGGTGACGGCGTCCTTGTGGCCCGTGAAGCGGTAGGCACGTGACTGGGGCTTCATGTGCCAGACCATGAGGCACGAGTCCATGGAGCCGCTGGCTGAGGGGAGCAGGAACCCCGTGACTCCGGCTCTAGCAGGCCTCAGGTCTCCACCGGGACTTTGGGGTGACGATGGGGACGGGCTACACTGCCAGCGAATGCTGACCAGGAGTTTGGAGCAGGCCCATGTGGGAACCAGCTCAAGAGATGCTCTTCGTGGCCAACCCAACCCCCCTCAGGTGGCTCCCAGGTCTCCCAAACACACCCTGAGGCCCTGGGGAGCAGGTCCCCCCAGCCCTGGGACGAGAGCCCAGCCCACTGAGATTTTACCACTGAGAAGCCCAGAGGAGGTCCCCAACATGGACCAAAAATGATTTCAGTTTCCTATTAATCTCAAGTGATCACAAAGCCAGCAGCCCCTAGCAGGAGACCTCACGGTAAGATGAAGGGGGAATCCTGCCCCCATCCCCAAGCAGCCAAGTCGCAAGGGGCACCAGGGGGCACAAACAAGGACAGTGCAGGAGGGGCACACCGGGCCCTGCTCCACACCCTTCTCTCCGGTAGGCATCTCCAACTAGGCGTGCCCACACTACTGTGGATGACGGAATCAATGGAGACCCACAGAAAGGACCCAAGAGCTGGCTGGGTGTTCAGGGAGAACCCCAAACCCAGTCCCACCCTCAGAGGCACTGCTGACTTTGGAAGCCCCCAACCTCTCTGAGCCCCCGCCTTCTTGCATGTAGAAGGGAGGTTGGGAGCTGGAAGCAAGAGGCAGGTCCAGGCAGAGCACGTAGGTCCCCATGCCCGCCCGTGCCACCCTCCCAGGTGGGAACTTGGCCTTCTCGGCTCATAACGTAGCACCTGGAACAAGGTGGCCCCCACTCTTACCCAGCTGCTTCGAGTTGAGATTGAAGTCCACACAGGTAACTCCATCTCGGTGTCCCTTAAAATGCCTCTCCAGCGAGGGGTCCTCCTGGGGGAGACCAGGTCAAGCATGTGATAGCTGGAAGAGAAGAGGCTTTCCCAGGGCCCAGCCGCTCCCTGTGACTGCCGGGAGGGCCTGGAAACGCTCACGGCCCGGCCCCCAAAGGACTGTTAGAGCTAATACGCAAGTTCAGCAAGGGCGTAGGGTACGTTGCCAACAGACAAAAATCAATCATTTTGATGTCTTTTTAAAGATTTTATTTATTTTTAGAGAGAGGAGAAAGGAGGGAGAAACAGAGCAGGAGAAACCTCAGTGCGTGAGAGCTGCAGTGATTGGTTGCCTCTCATGTGCCCCCAACTGGTAACCTAGCCTGGCAACCCAGACATGTGCCTGACGGGGAATCGAACCAGCAACCCTTTGGTTCTCAGGCCAGCGCTCAGTCCGCTGAGCCACAACAGCCAGGGCTGTTTTAATATTTTTGTACATCAGCAATGAACGATCTGAAACAAATAAGATAACAATTCCATTTATAATATGTTTTTTAAAATTTAATATACGGGTAACTTAAAAGAAGTACAAAATGTACCCAGTGAAAACTCTATCACTGAAGGAAATTTAGAAAGAAGTACTTAAATGGAAAGGCATCCTATCTTCATGGTCTGGAAAAACTGATATTTTTAAGGTACAATACTCCCCAAATTGTTCTACATATCAACCTAATCCCTAAGAAAATCCCAGATGCCTTTTTTTTGTGTAAATTGACAAGCTGATCCTAAAACTCATATGAAAATATAAGAGAGCCAGAATAAAATTGTTTTTTAAAAACCTTTAAAAAAAATCAGCCCCTATAGAAACAGCTTGGCAGTTCCTCAAAAACTTTACACAGAGTTTTTATCAAATGACCCAACAGTTCAGAGCCAGCCCCTGAAAGAACTGAAAATGTGTTCAGACAAAAACCGGTACTCATTCATTGTTCACAGCCTAAGACAGAAAGTGGGCGGCCTGGCATCCTCCGTGGGTGAATGGACCAGTGACATGTGGTCTGCCCAGGTTACACGTGGCATTTTTCAGCCCTGAAGGACACAAAGCTCTGGCACATGCTACAACACGGATGAACCTCGAAAACACACTCCTAGTGAAAGAAGCCAGTGCAAAAGGCCACATTTTGTCTGATTCCATTTATACAAAACATCCCAAACAGGCGAATCTATAGACACAGAAAACAGATCGGTGTTTGCCAGGAGCTGGGGGAGAGGGAAAGACAGGGAGGGAGGGCAGTGACCACTCATGAGTGTGGGGGTTTCTCTGGGGTGACACACTGTTCTGGAATTAGACGGTGACAATGGCTGTGCAACACCACGAAGTCACTAAAAAGCACTAAATTTTATGTTTAGAGGGGTGAATTTTATGGTATGTGAATAATGTTTCAATAAGGTTACTTCTTAACTGAAAGAAAGAAAATCAGGGTGTTCCAGCACCCCTCATCTCAGGAACCACATCCCACACGTTCAACCTCACTGTGGAATGGCCAGTGAACCCAAAGGTCGGCCCCGGAGAGGCCCCTGGTGGCAGCAACCACCATCTCCTCTCCACCTAGTGGCCGCGGAGCCCAAGGTCAAGACGCTACTTAGGAGCTAATACACCAGAGACTGCATCCAACAGCAGCTCCTGTCCTATCACTTGAGTTTGATCCCGGCAAGCAAACCTCTCCCCCTGCCCAAAATATCAGACACCTCAAAGAAGCATTTTGGGTGCACCAGGGAGCCCATCAACGCCACTGCCATTATACAGAGCTATACCCAAAACAAAGGTCCCCGTGGCCCAGTGCCCAGCCCCACCCCCAACACACCTGCCTAACTCTCCCTCGCAACCAGAGGGAGTGGCAGCTGGGGGGCGGCCCCCAACAGAACAGCAACTGCCTCACCTGAGTCTCTTGGAAGAACAAGATTAAGATAGTGCTCACCTCTAGGCTCAGTGGGCAGAGGCAAGTTTAGGTCCACCCCTGCAATCTCCCAACACCCTCTGCCCCAGTCCCAGGGGCTCTGTAGTTCATCCCCCCCGCAAAGGTAGTTTATATATTGGGGCCGGGGGAGTGTCTTGTGGGAAGAGCACACTATATTAGGGGTCAAAATGCTTTGGTCGTAGTTTGGGCCCGCGGCTCAACTCCTCGGATGCTTACGGGGATCAAAAGGTCACCACCCAGCCTCCCAGACTCTCAACCCAGGCAGAAAGCCAGGCAAGTTGGAAACCACCTCTCAAAACAAGGGCTGTGGAGTGCTCCCCGGGGCGCCCACTAGGTGCCCCGACCCAGCGCCCTTTGCACAGAGAATAAACTGGGGCCGAGAGGTCGGGCTCGGAACCCGGAGTCCCACCCGCCGCCTCGCCACCTGCGGCCAGGTGTCCATTGTCCAGGGGGGAGACTAAGGTAGCACTTACCGGACAGGGCACAGCCATGGTGGGGCCCAGGGCGCCCAAGGCGCCGGAGGAGCCCGAGGTGGCAGCGGCTGCTACCGTTACGGTGCGTTCAGTTTCCGCGCCCCCAATCACCGCCAATAGCAACACCGGTTGCGTCCCCGCGCCCCGCCCACAGCCATTAAAGGGGACGCAGCGACTTGGCTATTTGCTCCGCCATCGGAAGCAGAGCTGTAGGCCCGGTTCCACGGTGTCCACTTCCACTTTTGCCAGGCCACGCAGCCTACGGATTGCGCAGCTAAAGACCCTGCCCACCGTCAGTCATCCTCCCTGAGAATTTAAAAAGCCCTGGAATGAGAAATTCGCCCCACCCTGCCGTAGCGCGATTATAGAGTCGACGAGCCCAGCCCTCTGGGAAATGCAGTTCCAAGAAGGCCGCCATCTTGCGTCTGGGTGAAGCTGGAACTACATTTCCCAAGATGCCTTGAGGGAGTAATTGAGAGCCCGGGATTACCCACAGCGGCGAAAGTATTAAGGATCCCGGAAATGAGTCGTACATTTTCCTTTAAAAGCGCTCGGTAGGCCTTTTTTCTCCAGTCAGTACCTTATTAAGAGCTGATTGTTCGCCCTTCTGGAATTCTTTAAATGGCTCATCCCTCTAAATGCGCTTAAAACAGTGCCGACTTATAAAAACACCAGTCATTCTGACAGCTGTGGCTCAGTTGATTGGGTTTCGTCCCCCGCAAGCAAAGCGACGGGTTTCTGGTTCCATTCCCGGTCGGGACACATTGCCTGGGTTGCCGGTTTGTTCTGGGTCCGACTGCCTACGAGAGGCAACAGAAAGATGTTCCCTCTCATATCGATGGTTTCCTTACTCTCTCCCTCCCCTCCCCCTCTCTAAAAATAAAATTAAAGATTTGTTTAAAAATAAAAATCTTCAAAACAAAACAAACCACTAGTCAAGTCACTTGGAACCACAAGTTTGGAGTGGAGAGACCTAGGTGCCTTTCTCAGTTCTCCTTTGTATGTGGCTTCTGGGAAAAACAGCCTTGCTCTGTGGGCCTCGGTTTCCCCGTTTGTAATGTGAGGGAGTGTGCTGCAGCCTGATCCAGCCCTGCGAAGCCCTTGTAAATTAGTAACATGCCGGAAGGGGAAGGAGACAAGCCCGGAGCCTGGCCACCAGAGGCCGCTGCTGCCCACTTTCTGCAGTGGGAAGGTCCAGCCTCTCCAGACCTTGCTACTGGCGTCTTCCCAATCTGGAACTGACCTGGGCAGGTTGCAAGATTCAGCGAACTTCAGTGGAGTAAAGAATGTCCAGCCTGTAGGGAAGTTTTTTCGAGTTTATTTGAGCCAAAATTTAGAGGACATGTCTGGCAGCAAAATCCAAAGGGATTGAGAAAATGCTCGGAGAATGGCAGTATTGCAGCTCATTTTCTCCGTTAGAATCAAAGGAGGAGTAAGGAGGTTTACGTGAAATCCATTGGTGGTAGGTTAAAGAAGCAGGAGAGAGCAAAGTGGGAAAGTCTCTAGGACTGGATACAAAGCAAGATGGAGAAACACTTCTTTCACATTGGTGGGTGCAGGATGGCTAATTAACTTTCACAGTTAGTAGAGGTGGTGTTCAGGCAACAAAATGACAGGGTGGCCCTGTGTTCTGGTACCTGCACTTGTGTCTTCCAGGGGTCTGGAAAAGCACTGGACATTTCAAAGGGATGCTACCCCGTATGCATAAGAACTATGGATAGGCTCACTAAGGTCAAGCTTTACCCTGTTCAGGAAGCTATTGTAGGCCTGGGACGTCACTACCTGCCATTGCCCGTTTAGGAATGTATGATCAGGACATCCTGTGTGGTTACTTTTAGTCACTGAACTTGTTGAGGGCTTGTGGGGCTTATAACACAGCCCTTTTGTTGTTTACACCCCCATCATCTCCCCTGGGCTTGGCCCCCACCCCACCACTGATTACAATCCAGCCCGGCCCTGGGGTTTCTAACTGCATCTGAAACCTAAGATGTAATACGGGACCTGCAAACCAGAGCCTGATTCAACAGGCTCAGAAACACTCACTCACAGAGCTGGAATGTGGGGGACTGAGTCTCTCCTTTGGACCTCAAAGGTCTAAGCCGGACGCAAGAAGCAGACCACGCCACTTCTCTGAGCCTCCGAGTCTTCAGTTGTCCAGTCTTCACTGTGATCTGCCATAGAATTGGTTCCTTTATGTTAGGAATGGTCAGGCTCATTTAACTGAGATACTGTGAAATGCTCCTTAAAACAAGTGTAGTATCACTGACACCCTGAAATTGTTCAACACTGTTCACAGGATGATGTTCAAACCAGGGAACACCGGTGGTCCACAGGAGCTTGTAACTGACAAAACTGAATTTAGAGAAACTCTCTGTCAAGCAATTTTCCAGCGTCGGGTCTGCTCTCAGTGAGAGGCACTGGAAGATTTTACTCATCTTGCCTACTCATTCCAGGTCCCACTCTCTTCTATCCTTACTCATCAGGGAGGAAGAGTGGGGCTGCCTCACCCTCTCTTGCTCATTTATTCTCCAAAGAAATGCAATGGACCGATGCTTCCCAAAGACAACCCAGGATCCTCGGGCACTGCCAGCCTAAGCCAAGATTGGCGCCTCCATTTTCTGACCCAGCAGCCCCCACCCCACGTCCCCCCATCAGCTCGCACTCCATTTCTGAGTAGAGCCTCCATGTTGAGGGGGCTTAATGTGGGAGGTACCTCAGTGTTGGGGGGACCTCCACGTTGAGGGGGGCTGGAAGACAGCTTCTTTTTCAAGCCCCTTTGTGGCAAGGATGTCTTTGTCCTGGGTCAAAGTTCACAGACGGGACCTGCTATGAGAACCCCCTTCCGTGTCGTCACTCCCAGACCCCCCAGCCACCCAAGGACCAAGAGGGTGGGGCAGAGAGAGAAGGAAGAAAGGCAGGGATTACCGCACCCACATAGCCCAGCCCACCCTGTGCCCGGGAAACCGGACCAGCGCTATCAGGCTGCACCGCGCAGGCCGGCGGCTGGGAGGCTCAGGCGGGTCCGCGGGCGGGTCCAGGCCCTGCCTCCTCTGGGCTGGGCGATCGGTCGGGAGTCACGCCACTTCTCTGAGCCTCCGAGTCTTCAGTTGTAAAGTGATCATCATAAGATTGCCCCAGTGGGGGAGGGAGCATTTCATGAGCTGTTACTTCACGTCAGAGCCTGAGGCTGAGCGGCCACAGGGCGCACCTCCTCTGCACCCTGGCCCACACCTCTCTGCCTCTGCTCCCACCCCTCCCCCCGTCCCCTCCCCCAGCTGTCTCTGCTGCAGCCACGTTAGCCTTCCCACTGTTCTCTGAGCCAGAACGTGCCAAACACTCATCTCAGACAGACTCCTGCACTGGCTGTTGTCCCAGTGTCCTCTCAGCTCCAGCCACTACGGCCACCAGGACTTTGCCGAGACACCGGCCTCTCAGCGTAGCCCTCCCTGACCACCCTACTGACAATGCCACCTGCCTTCCCCTTCCCTGCTGTTCTTTTTTTTTTAAAGGTGTATTACATTTGTTTTAAAGATTTTATTTTTTGCCCTGGCTGGTGTGGCTCAATGGGCTGAGTGCCAGACTGTGAACTGAAAGGTCACTGGTTCAATTCCCAGTCAGGGCATATGCCTGGGTTGTGGGCCATGTCCCCAGTTAGGGGCATGCAAGAGACAACCAATGGAAGTATATCTTGCAGGTCAGTGTTTCTCTCCCTCTCTTTTTCCCTCCCTCCCCCTCCCTCTAAAAATTAATAAACATCGGTGCAAGAGAGAAACATCAATCACCGCCTCTCAAACATGCTCTGACTGGGGCCCGAACCCGCAACCCAGGCATGTCCCCTGACCAGGAAAGAACCGGCGACCTTTCAGTTTGCTGGACGATGCCCTCCCACTGACCCACACCAGTCAGGGCTCCCTGCTTTATTTTCCATTGGTGACTTATCACCATCTGACACATTGGACCTGCTGGTTCATTGTCTTCTCCCCTGAGAATGTCAGCTCTGGGGAGCAGATGTGCCTACGCCGATGTACCCGGGACAGAGTCCAGACAGAGTGGGGGCACAATAAAGATCTGCTGTATAAACAAACGACTCGTGACCAGATCGCTCGCAGGCTGCAGTGGAGTCTGATGGGCAGGACCAGTCCTCTGCGGGAGAGAAGGGGAAGGGATTAACCAGGAAAAGCTTCTCCGTGGGAGCAGAGAGATCTGAACTAGGGAACATGAGTAGGGTGTAGGCTGATCGGAGAGAAGGTGAAGGACCATTCCAGTGCAGGGAGCGGGAGGGAGGTGAGGCCAGACCTTGGGGAAGAGTCTTTAGGAACTTGCTTGACCACCCTTCAAGGCCAGGCAGGTCCATGGTGTTCATACAGACAGAAAAATACTCACAGAGCCGTTGGGATGCCTGGCACGCCTTTATTCACGGGTGAACAAGCCACACACGCTGCAAGCTGTGTGTCTATCTGCACGTTTCAAGTCATGGCCCTTGCTCCCCAGCGTGGCACCCATTGGGGCACCGGTGCCCTTGCGTGTCTCTCATCATCATTGCCCCCAGCAGGAGTCCCTACCTGTTTAAGTACTAGAGGGGAACAAAGCTGGAAAACTGCCAGAACATGACGTAACATAATATAATTCTGCACATGCGAGCCCACTTCATGTTATGGGAACAGTTTATCAGACCCCGTCTCAAGGCTGTGAGAACACTGGGTGTCAGTCCCCTCCGAGGCTGTGGGAACACTGCTCCCCTTAGCTCCCCAGACCCCTGGGTGGGGAAGCCAGACTGCCTCCACTTACCCTACAGAGTTGAAGACTGGTGGGCCCCCAGCAGGGAGAAGATGGGGTCTCCTGTTCAGCTGCGAGTGTGTGCCAGGGAGTGCTGGAGGGGATCATGGGGTAGAGCCAATGCGACAGGTTGAGGGGGCCTGCTGGGGAGAGGGTGGGCTTCTGCAGACCTGGGTTTTAATCGCAGGTGCAACACCAACTTGCTGCGTAACTGGGCACGAGGGCTCACCCCCCAGAGCCTCATTTCCTCATGTAAAATGGAGATCGTGTGGGAGCCATGACAGAAGCGAGGTGTATCAGCTTCCCAGGGCTGCTGTGCTAAAGTACTACAAACAGGTAGCTTAAATCCGTGCGCAACAGAAGTTTCTTCACTCACAGGGCTGGAGGCCAAAAGTCAGAGGTCAAGGTGTTGGTGGGGCCATTCCCCTTTCCTGGCAGCCCCTGAGTTCCTTGGCTGGTGGCTACATTGCTCCGGCTTCTGCTTGCTCGACACAGTGACCTTCTCGATGTGCCCCTGAACCCCAATTTCCCTTTTTTTTATAAGGGCCCCAGCCATGGGTTGGGGCCCAGTGTAATCCAGCAAGACCTCATTTTAACTTGATTGCGTCTGCAAAGACCGTCTTTCCGAATAAGGTCGCATTCACAG